CCTTTTAATATTATTACAATCTTCCGGGAAGGAATTGTTTATTCCAATCCTATATCGTTTGTTGATAGATAGGGCTGATAGCCCCCTGACGAGAGAGGTCTTTAAGGATATTGTGGAGAGAGCGGGGTCTCCCGCTTTTTCTTCTCGCTAACGATCGGCATTCTTTTCTTCCCCATTCCGGCATGATCAAAGAAGCTATGGCTGACCTGGTCCCCTTTGAAGACAAGACCTTCCTTTTTCTTTTTGTGCTTTTCAGCTTTAAAATTGTAAATCAACCCCCTCTGCTCCTCTTTCTTTCCAGGCGCACTGCTTTATTGCGCGCATTTGGTGCTGAATAACATTCCTATAAGTGGTCAAACTCTCTCCCCATCTCAAGGAGGTCCTCTACTTTGGTTGGCTAGTCTTCTCTTCCTCTCCCTCTCCCTCTCCTATGGTCGAGTGAGTCCCTACCTATGGTCGAGCAAGTAAACTACCTCTCTCCGAATTGACATTTTGGTCACCCTCGTTGTACTTATTCTTTCGAAGGATCACCCGTCGACTTCCTTGAACCTTTCATCTCTCCACATCACTGATGAAAGTGTGGGGTGCCCACAGTGGTGACTCTACTAGGGATAGAAAAGACTCCAATGCGTCCATGGCTATTTCCAAACAAAGACCCAATTCAATGAGCTTGACCTGCACACACTTGCACTTTTTTCGCCCTATAACCCGGCGGATTCTAGTTTCGGGCGCCTGGCCCACTCGGCCTGTGCTGTGACCGCGACCAGTTTCCTCCACCCCACGGACCAGTACCCATGGCCCACTCCAGACCATGAGATACGTCAAGGGGAGCAACCGCGCTGATGACCAAGGCAGGCCACCTTAAATAGCCCATCTTGAGAGGCACAATGGGAGCTTCCTCCCCCAAGCCTTACCGGAGTTATAAGGAGACACTTAGCCACACTAGAGAGCTTAGAAATTTCCCATAGGTCCACCCGTGTGACTGCGTGTGCTTGTTAGATTGCTTGGGGTTCTATGTTGGGCCCACTCTTTTTCACCTTAGGAAAATTTACTTATAGGCTGTGTTTCTGGGCCCTATGATGGACCTTTAGAATAAATAGGGAAGGGCTTTGAATTAAGCCCGATGTGTGAGACTTAGGATCCAATACGACTTGAGCCC